ATTCTAAATTTTCTAGCAGCCACATTTTAAAAAGCCTCTAAAAATGTAAAATTAATTTTAGTTGTATATTTGACTTAACCCAACACACTCAAAATAATATCATTTCAATGGTAATGCAGATAAAGACAATTTTTGTGAGTCTTCAAAACCTAGTGTGCCCTTGGCACTTCCGCACATCTCGACACAGACTGGCCACATACTCATGTGCTCAAGAGCCACATGTGGCTGGTGGCCACCACATTGGTCCCAATGCTTGTTCCCAATTTCTTCCATCTTTAGCCCAGATTGCGTCTGTGGGTCTCAGTCATCCACCTCCCTCCCACCTTTCTGGCCAGGTCTTCATTTCAAATATTGGAAGACGTCATGGAGGCAGACAACACTCAGAGCTGTGTTAAGAGAGCGTGGACGCATCAGCCTGGAGGAAAGCCCCGGTCTCCCTTGTCCCATGGCTGTAGCCTACAGAGAACCTCTGGCCTCAGGAAAGGGAATGAGAGCAGGAGCTTGTTGTGCTCACATGGACTAAGGCACAGGGACCCAGGAAGACACGAGGGAGGCAGGGAGCAGAGAGGCCCGGTGAGGCTTCCGTAGCTGCTGTTTGGATCACTTCCTACCCAACTTCCACTCCAAGATAGAGCCACTATCAGGGCAGGATTAGGGTTAGGGTTAGGGATAGGGCCACCCTTCCCCATGCAAATCAAGCAAAGATGGTCCCGGCAGCAAGGTGGCCCCAATCACCTTGTCAGTGATTAACAAAAGAGTGGTCACCTGGGTCTGAAACAGACAGACCAGCATCAGGGAGATGCCACAGAGGGGCTCTGGACCCTTCTTGGCTTTCCTCCTGAGAAACTCTTGTGTCTGGGTGTGATCCCACCTGTCACCTACTTCTAGGAGGCGAACCAGCCTTAGAATGAAGAAAATACTGAGATAATGAGCAGTGAGCAGGAAGGAACTTGCACCATCCAACCCCGAGGACATCCCCAGAGACCAGACAAACCAACAAAAGCCCCAAACAAGCACTCAGCAGTGAAACCAGAGAGGAAGCTGTGGCTGCCTGGAGACAAATGCCCTTCCAGGGAGGCTGGGGAGGTGTATGGGGATGAACTTAGAGACCAATAGACTTTTCAAAGTGGGGAGCTGGATTGGAGGCACCCTGTGAGGCCAGAATAGGTAAAGGGTCCACCGTGTCAGTAGAATAGTGGACTAGAGACTACCGACCTGTGAGCAAAGGGAAATGGATTTTTTAAAATAATAATTTAAAAACTGGATAGCCAAAAATTAAAAATAAAATAAAAAACAAAAACTGGATAGCCACATGCAAGGGAGTGAAGTTAGATCCTTACCTAACACCATACACAAAATTAACTCAAATAGACCAAAGACCTGAAGGTGAGACCTAAAACCACAAAGCTCTTAGACCATAACAGAAGGCACAAGCTCCAAATCCTGGATTTGGCCAGGATTTCTGGGCCATGATGCCCCCAGTTAACAATAACAACAAATAGACAAATGGGACTGGTTGACAATCTGAACATTGTGCACCAAGAGAGACGACTGGTAGAATAAAAAGGCAAATCTCAGGATGGGAGAAAATATTTGTAAATCATATAGCTAATAAGGAATTATATCTAGAATATGTAGAAAGAACTCCTAAAACTTAGTAAGAAAAGTACTGAGCAGCCTGATTAAAAATGAGCAAAGGACTTGACTACCCAGTTCTTTAAAGAAAATGTTCAAATGGCCAATAAATGTATGAAAAGATGCTCAGCAGCATCACTACGCAGCAGGGAAACGCAGATTGAAACCACAGGGAGCTACCACCTCACACCTTCTGGGATAGCTGTTACACACACATCCCAAAACGCCAACAATGGCAAACAACAAATGCTGGTGAGAATGGGGAGAAATTGGGAACTTTGGGCACTGTTGGTGGGAGTGTAAAATGATATGGCCATTACAGAAAAAACTATAGCTAAACTATTTGAGAAACTAAAGATAGAGCTACCATATGATCAGGAGTCCCGCTTCTGGATATCTTATCTAAAGGAATTAAAAATAAGATTGCCAAGGGATATTTGCACCCCCACGTTCATCACAGCATTCTCCTTGATCGCCAAGGGGTGGAGACAACCTAAATCTTCATAAATATAGGAATGGATAAAAAAATGTAGTAGATACACACAATGTAATATTTGGTTGGAGCATTCCCCAAATTAATTAATTATTTTTTGAAACAGAGTCTTACTCTGTTGCCTAGGCTAGAGTGCTATGGCATCAATCTAGCTCACAGCAACCTCAAATTTCTGGGTTCAAGTGATCCTCCTGCCTCAGCCTCCCAAGCAGTTGGGACTAGAGGCACCCACCACCACACCTGGCTAATTTTTCTATTTTTAGTAGAGATGAGGTCTCGCTCTTGTTCAGGCTGGTCTCGAACTCCTGAGATAAAGGAAGGCAACTTGGCCTCTCAGAATGCGAGCATTATAGATGTAAGACACCTTGCATGGCCTTCATTATTATTATTATTTATTTATTTATTTGAGACAGAGTCTCACTATGTCACCTTTGGTAGAGTGCTGTGGCATCACAGCTCACAGCAACCTCAAATTCTTGGGCTTAAGCGATTCTCTTGCCTCAGCCTCCTGAGCAGCTGGAACTACAGGTGCTCACCATGACGCCTGGCTATTTTTTTGTTGCAGTTGTCATTGTTGTTTAGCTGGCCTGGGCTGGGTTCAAACCCACCAGCCTGGATGTGTGTGGCTGGCACCGTAACCACTGGGCTACAGGCGTCAAGCCTTAATTATCATTTTTAATTGACATAACAATTGTACACACGGGTACAGTGTGAGATTTCAATACATGTATACAAGGTATGATGATCAAACAGGGTAACTGGGCTATCGATCACCTCAGACATGGATCTTTCCTTTGTGTTGAGAACATTCACAATCCTCTCTTCCTACTACTTGAAAGTGTGTGGTAAGTTGTGGTTCACGACAGTCCCCAGGGTGCTATGGAACGCTAGAATGCACTCCCCCTCAGCACTTTCGTATCTGTTCCTTATTCCCCTTCCACCTCTCGCAACACAACACCTGCGCTACCTCTCCTGGGAGGCCAACTCCCGTAGCTCTCACGTAGAAGCGAAAGATGCGATCCCTGTTGCTGAGCCTGCTTTACTTAACATAACGTCCCCCAGGTCCGTCTGCGTTGCTGCAAATGACAGAATTTCTTTCTTACTTTGTGGCTGAATAGCCGTCCATCGTGTTCTATACCACGTTTCCTTTACCTTGCGATGGAATATTATTCCGCTTTAAAAAGAAGGAAACCCTGCCGTGTTCTACAACATGGGTGGGTCTCGAGGACCTTATGCTAAGTGAAACAAGCCAGTCCCAGAAGAACAGACCCCGCATGCTGCCACTTACACGGAGTGGTCGGACTCACAGAGGAAAGAGGTCCAGTAGTGAGGGCCAGGGTGGGGGCCGGGGAGCCGCTATTCAGTGGGCGTGGGTTTTGGTCATGCAAGATGAGAAACGTCCAGATAGCCGCTGTACAACAGGGGCATCTAATTAACAGAATTCTGAGGCACACTTGTAAGTTTGTTAAGAGGGCAGATGTTACGTTGCGTGTTTTTGCTTTGCTTTGTTTTTTAACCACAATTAAAAAGAAGAAGAAGAAAAAGGAAAAAGAACCCACGTCCCAGGCCCTGGTGAGGGGCCTTTCCCTCGCTGTCCCCTTCCTGCCGCCTCTCCCTCCCTCCCTCCGTCAGTGCCCTGGGCTCTGAACTTCCTCTGTGGTTGGACAGTTGCTCAGAAATAAAGGCCTAGGCCTGGGACCCCATGGTGAAGGGGGAAGTTGTGCTTTCCTCTTCAAAGAGCAGCCCACACCTGTCCTCTGCCCTTCTGCACTCCCACTAACTCCTGGCTTTGAAACATGCTACAAGCAGCGTGTGAGGAAGCCTACTGCGCCCAGTTATTTAAGGGCACAAGCCTCTGCTTCCAGCTCTTAATAGAAACACTTGCAAGAAAACGCAATCCCAGCTCCTGTGGCTTATTTACGGGCTAACTTACTGACTTTCCACCTTGCTCCTCTGCTGCAGGGAGTGGACATACTCTGAGATTTGCTTGTCAGCTTTCACTGGAACCCAATGGGTATTTCCAGAAACACTTCTGGGAGGATAGTAGGATGTGCGTGTGGTGATACTCAGGAGAGACGGACAAGAGGGGCCTCCTCTTCTCCAGGGAGTTCTGTGATGGGGTCCTAGCAACCCAGTCACACTGATTCCAAAGAGAACAGGGGACTCAATGAATATTAATATTAAGAAACAGCGGGGAAACACGGAACACATGCTGATAATCGCCAGTGGCCCCTTATCCCGCTGAGTCCAGCAGGCTGGGCGCCTGGTCCCTCTCCCACAGAGCTGCAGTGTCACCCCTGAGTCGGGACAGATCCAGGGAAGGGTTTACCAGGTCAGTGCCCATGGAGCTGGTGGACTATGGGCCTCGGCCCCGGCAGAACTCTGCCCCCTCTGGGCACTGTGGAATTTCCAGGGCCACCACTGGCCAGAGTGCTTAACTAAGTTCAAAGTCAGAGGAAGTCTCTCTTTGGCTGCAGGGCATCAAGAGGGGAGCATGGAATCCCAGTGCTGACGGGAGACTCCAGGTACCGTGTGGGACACCAGGGCATCCCCTGTTCTGTATCCCTGGTGAGAATCAGGGCCCACCCATTAGGACAAAGAGCAGAGAACAAGTCCTCGGGGGTGTTCGTGGGGAGACATTCCGGAGGTATGTGTGCGCAGTGGGTGGGGGGTGGAAGAAGATCTCAAACAGGGCTATTTCTCCTCGTGAGACATGAAAATCCCTTTGGTGTGAGGACCCCCAACCCATACGGCATGATGTGACCCTCTTCAAGGGTTTCCTTCCTGTGCCTAAGGCATTTGAAAGAGACAACATTATTTTCCTCACGCAGTTTTTATTGTCATTTTTTAATAACATCATTTCCTTGAGATAGTTTTTATTACCGCCATCCCCTGTCTTGAGGTAATTCTTGAGCCTCAGTGAGTTGTTTGGGGGGAAGTCTCAAGCACCTGTGCTGAGGAGACCCCCAAGCTGCAGCCCCCAGAAAAGCAGTGGCTCCTGGGAGCTGTGGGGTCAGGGAGGCTCCCATCATTCTTCAGCCCTGCAGACTCAGAGCTGTGTCCTCCCTGGGCAGAGGGGACATCCAGTCTCTTGAGCCGCAGAACCAGGAACTCAACACAGAATTGCCCTCCTTGTGTTGAGGGGCACGTTAGTCAGGGTTCTCATGAGCATGAGTCACCAAAACCCAAGCTTAAGAGAAAGAGATTTCTAAAAAACATATGTATCGGGCACTCAGGCAAAGACAGTGCTGAACTGGTGTCAGGAATGAAGACAGTGGAGGGCTGAGTGAGTCTTTCTCTGTCTCTTTGTCCTTCAGTCCCAGGCTCTGTGCCCAAGTCATGACATGAGGGAGGACACTGTGGGTAGGATTCCACCCCAATAGCTCCTGACCAAGAGAACAAGGTGCTGGCACCGCAGGAGGCAATGATGGCTCAGAAGGGCCTGAGCTGTGTCCCTGAGTTCTGCAAAGCCTAGAGGTACCCACCAGTCCCCAAGGCCGGGGGACAGTGCCCACGGCCCTAGCCTCGGTCACTGCATCCTGAGGCCTTAGAGGTGTCTCTTCCACAGCCCAGGCCTCCTCTGCTGATCCTTTCGTCTAAGGGGCTGTGTCTTTGATCAAGTTCATCCAGATAGGTGTTCCTACAGCTCCTGAGGGACTCTCTGAGACTCCTTCAACCAGAGAACAGCACCAGCCAAGATGAGCAAGATGGGTACCTTCACAAATGCCAGGAGCAGGTAGTAGGTCCTGTGACAGGTGACACTGGTCAGATCCTTGGGCCCACTACTCATCCCCTGACCCTATAAGCCATTTGCCAGCTCAGCAAAGCCCGTGACCCCAGGCCCAGCAGCCTCACTCTGGAGACCCCCAGGAACCCCGTCCATAGTTCAACCACAAGGGCTCAGCTGTTTTGCACTGGGCCTGTCTTCTTTTCTAATTTTACCTTCTGGCACTCCCCTTTGCCCAAAGGACATCTCAGCCCACTAGAAGGACCTGGAGGTCACCAAATACAGGTGACCTGTTTTTGTGTTTTCCTGACTCTGTTCCTACTAATGCTAGCCCCAGGTTGGTAAATCACGCTCCCTGTGCTGTGTCTTTTGGTGTCTCACACAATGGAGATTGGGATCTTATCTCCTCTTGACACCCACAAGGCCACCGATGCTTTTTTATTGGCCAGTTGAATGGGTGGGTGGTGCTCATAGAGAAGAGCTCTGCAGAGCAGTTTTCTGGTGAGAGCTAGAATGGGACAATGGTGGGTGTGGAGTAATGGATGCGGGAGTAAGGCAGAGGGGGATTGGGGCCTTGATTTTGACTATATCAGCCACTGGCATTCATCGATAGACATGGGCAGAAGGAGCTCCCAAGCTTGGCTTCCCCAAAGAAGGGTCCCCAGGTAGAGTCAGGAGAAAGGACCAAATGACTCACCTCTTATTGGAGCCAGAGGACATCCCTGTATTTATGTTGACAGGTGGCATGACAAATGGTTTGGAAGAGAAGCTTGCTGTAGAGGGAGCCATTCTCACTAGACACAGGCAAAGTCAGTTGCAGGTTATTGGCTCAGTTGGGGGTTGGTGCAGGGCCCCTAAGCCACCCCCGCCCTGCCAGCTCTCACTAGAAGACCCTTCCTCCCCTAGGGTAGGAAGCTTCCCTCAGGCTTCTATTGAGTCATCTGAATCACAACACAGTCATTTTTTCTATCATTTTCAGAATGTGACAAGAAGATATCAAAATTAAGTGGGAGTAAACACTATAGTTATTCTGGACGACAGAGATACATCTTTTCAGATTCTCTTTCCACATACCCCTGTAAGTGGTTGGAGGGATTAAAAAAAAAATCTCTGTTCCTTTCCACTTGAGTAGTGCCTGAGCAGAGCTCAAAGACAAAAATTTGTGGTAATGGGGCATCTAGTTATTGGAGTGGCAAGGGAGGGGGCTCCAGAACGCTGGTCATTAAGAGGGCACATTCTGGTTAAATGGTAAACAATGATGGTGAAAAATAAAATATTTTTATGAGAAAGTATGTGGGCAATTATCTGTGATGGACAGCCTGGTCATGGGTTCCTGAGACTAGCCTGGCACTGAACGCTGGAGACATGCCAGTGATCTTCCATGTCAGCTTGGCAAACTCTCTTCTCAGAGGTCCCATGCTTTGGGCACACTGGATAGCTCTAGCCTGAGCTCTGGGTCATTCCAGGCATAATCACTCCCCTGTAGTCATCCCACAGGCTGAGGGCCCCATGGATGCTGCCACCAAAAACTTTGAAATGCCTCTATCCCTAAAGTTCCACACTAGCCATGGTTTTCAGCCTCTCTGTCCCTTGCCTGGGTCTTAATCCATTCTCTGTCCCCACAGACCTTCTGGACTCCCCCTACATGGCAGCCCTGAGGAAGGCTTGCCTAGGCAACACTTTCCAGACTCCACTTGGCCCAGTGGCAGGCCCTGAGTCCCTCTTTGGTCCCACTCCTCATGATACTTGTTCTAAAGCAGATATACACCTCTGTATGATGTTCCAGTGGGGGTGCAGGGCAGAGGAGGGACTAGGCACACACGTGTGGGCAGAAGCAGAGAAATTCTGTGTCTCAGATTCCCCCAACATCAGCAGGGAGACGCCAGAGTCCATCTGTGTGGTCTGAGTCACAGAGGAGATGCCAGGGCAGCAGAGAGTTCCCTGAAGTTGACCCAGTGGTCAAAGCCTTCCTTCCTCTTTAAAGCGTCTGCTGTCATCCATGTGCTTCCTTGGGGTCTTTTTCACCCCTCGGTGTCTCTTGGGTAGCCAGAGAAGGGAGAGGAGGTGGTGGCTGGGGACTCATAGAGAAGGGGTCCTATAAAATGCCCCAAGCCATTTTTGGTTGGCCAAATTCCTGGATCTTATCACTGAGACCCTCTGGGCTGCCCTACGTCCTCTCCTCCTCACCTAATGATAGGACCAGAAGACTGACCACTTCCTAGAGGGACATCCCAGATCCTTGTGGGGGTCTCAGGCCCACCCTGGGCTATGATGAGAGAATGTGAGGCTGTTCAACCTCTGGAGAGCAGGGCTGAGCCACAGGCCACCAAGGCAGAGTCATGTGCCCCGTCATCCCAGCTCAAGCCCCGCCAAGCTGTGCATTGTCTGGGTCCCTTGGAGAGACCTCAGGGACTGGGGCAGAGAGCTGCTCTCACTTCCTTCCCATCCATCTGTCCATCTGTTTGTCTGCCTTTCAGACTCTCAGTCACTTCTTTTCAGCCCTTGAGGAGGAGGGGGTCAGAGCCCTGACTTGTTCAGTCTTGAGCACTTGAGTCCCTAATGGAGATGAGAAAGTTCTTACCTGGGTCGATGATCACTTTAACTTGGGTGCCAAGGTCGGTTCCAATTTTCTTGATCCCACACCAGTAAGTGTCTGCGTCACCTTGCCTGAGCCCCTTCATGGTCACGGTGAAGGTGCGGTCTGTCCAACTGTCCCTGATGGACACACGGTCACTCTTCACCTCTTGCTCTGACCCTCTGGTTTGAATGAGGATCTTGCACGAATGCCATATCACCCCTCGACACCACCACTTTTCATGGGTCTCCCATCCTTGGTCATAGCGACACTGCACCACCACCACACCCCTTTCTGGGGCCCTCACAAACTCTGGGGCTTGGATAGAGAGACTACCTGGAAAACAGAATGCCAAGATACAGTTCCCACCACCTGGAGCCAGACTGATGTACAGGGACTGGACGAGGGTCCCAGACCTCCCCAGCCAGCCCTGACACATGCCTCTACCCACCTCCCCCTCAGCCTGGCCTACTTTAGCATCCTCAGTGGCAACATCCAGGCCTTTTCCATCTCCTTCTGCCCAGGCCTGCTTACAGCATGTGACACCCTGGTTCCTGTCACCCCTTTCCTTGTCCTCTCAATGCTGTTATCCTCTGATCTCTTTCTTCAACTACTCTGTCTCTGAGCTCTCAGCCAAGTCTGCTCTTCCTTTCTCCTTATTTTTTGGTGTAACCAGTGCTATGTTGGTATACACTTCACAACCAGCTCTCTCAGGAAAAAGAAATCTGTGGTTTGTGACATCTGCTGATTTCTGTAGTGTAAATACTGCCAGTATGGCAGATGTCAGGCTCCCCATGTATGTTGCTGGACACAGAGGTGGGAAGAGATGTCCCACATCAGTTCTTTGAGTGTGTAGGAGTCGGTGCCAGCCCACTGCAGGGGTCACTTCAGTTCTCCCTCCAGTCTCCCTCTTGTCCCCACTTATATACCTCTGCAGAGGGATTCCCTGCACTTCCATGGTTTCAATAGCTGCCTATATCCTGTGAGTCCCAAACCCATATTTGTAGCTCAGATTCTGCCCTTAGCCCACTATTGACAAAAACACACTGCCCATCTCTACCCCAAATTCAGCCCTAACAGACCTGGAGGCTCTGCCTCTCCCACCCTCAACCTGCTCAGCCTCAGTGTTCTCTCTCTAGTCGGGGACTCCACATGGACAGCGTAGCAAAGGCCTGATAACAGCTGAACAGGTTAGAGATGAGGGTAAGTACAAGGGGTTTCCTGTGGTTCTGTTGTTGACTCCAGTTGAGCGGACTACTTTGAGATAGGCTCTTTTCCCAGCAATGACCACTGGTCCCTTCATCACATGAAAGACTGTCTTGACTGTCTGTTGATCCCAGAGGCTCAGGCTTAGGCAAGGGGTCTCTGTAGGGAGTAGGCACTGGGCAGGTGCCACCTTCTCACCCCTTAGGCCTGCTTCCTGATGTGATTTTCATTTACCTAAGATTCGCCTTGGTGGATGGCAGATTAATCTACTCCCACAGATGTTGACATCCTAATACTGAGAACCCAAGAGTATGTCCCCTTCCAAGGCAGAAGAGATTCCGCAGATGTGATGAAGTTAAGGATCTTAAGACAAGGAGATTATCCTGGACCACCCCCATGGGTCTGACAAACGAGAGAGGCTAAAGGAAAGTGAGCTTTGATGATGCTCTGCTGCCTGCCGTGCATGTGGAGGGTGGGGCAGCGAGCCCAGGAGAGCAGGTGGCTTCCCAGAGCTGGCAAAGACAAGGCAGATTCTCCCCTACAGCCTGAGGAAGGAACACAGCCCTGTCTATGTCTTGGTTTTAGCCAATTAGATCATTTCAGACTTCAGAGCTTCAGAACAGTAAAATAACAAATCTGTGCTATTCTAAGCCATGGAGTTTGGGTGACTTGTCACAGCAAGCCACAGGAAACTCAGACAGCATTCCACCATCAAACCAGAGCAGCTCCTTCCTGCCGCATCTCTCTTTTTCTGTCTCCTTTGCTAGGACAGTCACAGAAGAGCAGAGATTTTGTGTTTATTTTCTCTCTCTCTTTTTCCCACTCCCCGCCCCAGTGTCTTGATCAGTGTCTGGTTCATGGTAGGCACAAATAAATTTAGCAGCTGTTTTTGAAAAGAAGCAGGTCATCATGACCTTGGGACATAATCGTTGAACTCCA